CATCAGGAGCAGCACGATGTCAATGATCAGCTGCGCTCGGAGTTGCAGGCGACGCAGTCTCAAGTGACTTCGCTCACCGAGAATGTCACTTCTCTCACCGATATCCTCGACATTATGGCGGTTGGAAACCCGCAAGTGCAGGAGCTGTTGCGTCAGAGACGGGAACGTGCAGGGATTCCAAGTACCCAACATCCTCCGCAATCACAGTCACAGCCGGCAACTAACTATGGAGAGGATTTGCCGAACCAGGACGACGTTTTGTTCAGTCAGCAATTTCCCGACCAGCATCCGTGGTTTCTTTTATTTTTATTTGTATATTATGAATTTAAAAACTTATTGTATATTATCTAGTTATTTATAAAATATTTTGTTTTTTTATTTTTATTTATAATTTGATTTATTTTTATTTTTAAAAAATAAATTAATTATTTGTAATTATTTTTTTAATAGGAAAAAAACATTTCCAAGCAAAATCCTCGTAAAATATTCGAAGTAATATCCTCGTAAAGAGTTCTAGTAATTTCCTCGTAATGTATCACTACGACCTTACGAGGAAATGTTTACTACGAGCTTACGAGGACCTTACGAGGAAAATTTTACCACGCCTTTACGAGGAAAGGTTTCCTCGTAAATTCGCTACGACCTTGCGAGGAAAATGGCTTTACGATGAACGTGTTTCGAGGAAACGCGTTTCCTCGTAAGTTCCTAGTAAAAGGCCATTTACTAGGAACTAACGAGGAAAACCCGTCCTAGTAATGGACGAGTTTTCTTGTAGTGAAATTTGATATATGATTTAAATTTCATATACCATGGTCATAATATATATGTATCTTTTAGTAATAAAAAGATAACAAATTTTGAGTTTTAATCATTGCAAATTTGGTATATGATTTAAATTCCATATAACAAGGTCATAATATATACATATATATTGTATATTAAATATAAATATATTTCAAAAACCCGGACGTTAGCCCGAAAAAATCTCTAGTAGTATATAACAATCTTGATAAGATGTCTCTCAAAGAGTAACGTTGAAACTCACTACATAAAAAGAACCCAATGGTGTTTTCAAAACAACAACACATGCAATTTCTAAAACCATTTCCATGTTTGTGAAACAATGGCATTAACCTATCTAGCATAATAAGGTTATACATGAGAGATGTGGAGGTTCATAAAACATATTCAAACAATTTCATATGGAAACAAAACAAAACAAAACAGAAAGAGATCAATGCTGAAGATGCATCAAAAAAATCACAACAACAATGAATGACAGTTACAAGACTTACGTGTATTTTGGTGACACTAAAATATATGGAAGCAACACTAATATACCAAGCAACAACACAGAAAACAGATCCACCATCTGTTAATACTACAAACAAACTAAAAAGTGTGTATTAATGATATAAACGAACAAAACTAAGTCGCTAAGCAAAAAATAAAATAGCAAAAATAATTAAGTTATGTGGTGATTTCTATGCAAAAAAGTTTTTTGGGGGTCTAAAATATTTTTTTGGAGACTTATATTCGTGTATTTTTCTCCAAAATTTTTAGAAGCCTAAGACAAATGTTTTATTAGACATGTCCATGACTGACCCTAAATGTAGAAAAATGGTCAAACACATCTTTTCCTTTACAAAAGTACAATTGTGAGAATTGATAGTAATTAAAATTAGACAATATAGTAGAACCTCTATAAATTAATACTCGATAAATTAATAATCTCTATTAATTAATAAATTTCACCGGTCCCAACTTGGGCTGGTTCAAAATTTGATACAAATCGATAAAATAACAACATAATAAATATTTAGAAAAATCTATGTAAATATATGGTCCCATTAAAATTATAAATTAATAATTTCTATATATACATATTTTATATAAGTAAGAACCTAGCATTATATTGGTTGTTTTAAATTTACAATGGAATTGTCTTTACATTTTCTTAACACATAATATATTTTTAACGAGATTTAGTAATATATATCTAAAATCACATTTAAATTTTATGAAAATATATATTACATATCAAATAATATAAAAAATTAATATAAATGTGAAAATTTAAAAAATAATGATTAATGTCTATACAATAAAATCAAATATTTTTTGTATCTTAAATAAATATATCTTAAAATAAAAAAAAAATCTAATTAAGGAAATTTTTGTAAATTAATATCTCTATAAATTAATAAAATTTAAAAGTCCCAACATTATTAATTTATAGAGGTTTTACTGTATATATATAGTAACAAATGTTATACAGAGAATAAAAAATACATAAATATTTGACAAACTAATACTAATCAGTCCAAAAAAAAAAAAAAACTAATACTAATGAGAAGATCTCCGCGTTCGCGCTGATAAATCCTTAGTAAGCCAAATAAAGTTTTACTCAAAACAAACAAATTAAAGAAAAGAAGAGTATTTTCACAAACCAAAGGATAATATCATAATATTTTACACAAAAACAAAAATCGTCATTAAACTTGATGATTTCTCAAACAAGCAAATAAATTTCATATCTTTGTAGCAACACAGTGCACAAATCATTCTTTTGTCACAGTTGCAGAACTTACTAAGCTATTAGATGCAATCCTAAGTCGCTCTCCTACAATTTTAATCATATGAATTTCTTCTATAGTCAAGCTCGAAGACTGTAAAAAACAAAAAAAAATTAAAGAGGTAACAAGTCAATCAGCAGCATGAATTTCCAAATTTTATCCGTTTAAAATATGTAAAACAATTCAAATGCTCACCTGCAACGTGATAACGTTGTGCAGAATCAAATCGATCTCTAACTTGAATGATGATATTATCTTCCTAACTTTGACGTCGTTGTGCATCAACAGAATCACAGAGACAATGCATTGTATCACATTCAATGAACTTCGACTGCTCTCACTGTCTTGTTGGACCAATGATTCCAGCATCGCTTGTGTCTCTTCACTAACCAGCAATCGCATTCTTTTCAGTACCGCTTCTGTCAGTTTGGAGCTCCAATCAAACAGGAAAAAGTAAGGTAATAGATAGTAGAAGCATGGTTGTCGGTGAAGGAAATAAGAATTCTCCTTATCTTCTGGTATACACTGGCAAGAAAGGTTGTGTCAAATCCCAAAAGATAGTTAAACTTTTTTTAGGGCACCCATCAAAAGAAAAGTATGTTGCTCACATTGACTATATCCATCAAATATCCCGGTAAGAATTCAGTTAAAGTTGTTACACTGCTTTCAGAAAGTCTGGTAGGTTTTGAGTCCAACTTGCAGATAATCCTCAGTATGCCACACCCATTGTCCAAAGCAGGCTTCAAAATCTGCACCACTCATTAAATCATTAATTTAACTATATGAATTAAGTCTTTTATAAGTGTAATTATCAATTTTGAACCATAAAACTTACTATCTTTTCGACCAAAACTTTCTCTATAATCTGGAGGAGGAGAGATCTATCACCCATTTCTGACAAACATTTGCACACAAGGTTTGTAAATTCGTTAAATAATGTCCCCCGCACCACATCACGCGACTCTGCAATGAAACAGAAAGCCATAATAATAAGGTTACGCTGTCACAGAGTATTCATCGAAGACTTGCGGATTCCAGACAATAACCTCCAGGGACAACTTTGAAACGTGCAATTAAGGTGATCAGTGTTTGAACCGAGTTCGGTCTGTTCAATAAATGAGTGACAGGACTCGTCGGTGGGTTATTTCAAAGGCGTTTTATTACTATTAAGAGTCAAAGATGTGTTTGTATTAACAAGAGAGTTTGGCTACAAATAGAGAAATGAAAGGCGAGGCGGAGTCTCGCGAGGAGCTCGGCCGTGCCGTACAAGTCGGAAAAGAAGTAAAGGAGTGAAAACCCTAGTTCTAGCCGCCTTGTGAGTGAGAGTGATTTTGGATCCCCTTCTCGTTAGCTCCTCCCTCCCTTTTATAACAGTTATTCCTTGACCTAGCGGACTCATCGTGACTCCTGCGGGCTTTTGCCAAATGGGCCTCGGTTGGCCCGCTAACTCGAGCGCCTTGCTTAAACAATCTTAACTCGGTTAATTGCGGGGATTAGCCGAGCTAAGCTCGATTTACTGCTGATTACCGGAGAGCTCTTTTGTTGGGCCTGAACTTGCTTGGGCTGAGCTCGTTATTGTATGGGCTTGGTGAGGAAGTATATTCCACCACCTACAGTAAGTCCCCCAGATCTGCTGCCGAGTTATGATCTTAATCGGAGCGAATTTCGTCAAATTAGCCCATAGAATAACCAGGTCAACTAATGTGTTATGTCGTCTTCCCAAATAGCGGCCTTTCGACTCGCAGATTCGGATACGGTTACTTTCGCGAACGCGGGTCGTCGGCTTGAAGCCCATCCGCTAATACCGATCTCGAGTTCATTACAGGAGCGTTCGTGGTCGTTAGCTCGGAGCTCGGAAGAGAATGTGAACAGTTGTGGGCTCTAGAAGTTTCTTGGGAATTGAATCCCATTTAACTCGGAATATGAACAGTTGCGGGCGGTTTTTAGGCCCAACTAGGTTCGAGTAGACCTAATTAATGCCTTTGAGAATCGCGCCCCTCTTCCCTGCCTATAAATACGCTTCCCCTCTCCATTCTCACCACTTCTCCGTTTCTTCAGGTATTCTCTCTCTCCCTTCTCTCAAGTTTCTCTCTCTAGGCTTCCTCGTAGAATATATACGTTCGCCGTCGGTAAGATGTGTCCGCGAAAGAAATTGTCGGCTGAGGAGAAGGGGAAAGCGGTTTCTATGACGTCGAGTCCTGCTCGGGATGAGACCACCGGTGAGCCCTTAGACGACTTCGATCTAAGGCATTGGGAAGCGTTGAGGGATTCGGCCGGTCGACCTGGCACATAGATTGCTGGTCGTCGATTTGGAAAGGGAGTTTAGGGGCGAATATGACGGGAATTTCACCGCCGAAGTAATGAATGATCCGAGGGTGCTGCGCCTTGGATCTCCGCCATCCGGTCGATCCCGTGCTGCTCCATCTAGACGAACTCAGTCTAGGCGAGCTAACCGAGCTAACGCGGAGCCGGAAGAGGAAGATGCCCGCCCGAAGGTCCCTACGCACTATAGTGGCATGGGGGTCTTTGAACGGGAACCCGCGCTTCCCGAGGATAAGCTTCACCGCGCTGGGACTCAGTTTTGGCAAATAAGCGAGAAGACGCATTCGACTGCGAAGTCGGTGGAAGCTTTACTCGTAGCTCGCAATGCCGTGGGTGTTACGTATTTGATTCCGACTGCGGAGCAACGCCTGTGGTCGCCTCCAGTCGGTTATCAATGCGTTTACGAATCGTACTTCGAAGGCGATACCAAGCATTGGTGTCCGCTACCTCGCCTCGTGACGTCGTACGTTTCGCGCCGAGATCTTGCCTTAAGTCAGATGGTGAACGGGGCCTTTCAAATTATGGTTGCCCTCATGGTCATGGCCGCCAAGATCGATGTTTCATTGTGCGTCTACGCGTTCGAGCAGCTGACGACCATATCTCTCTTGAATTATGGCCTGTTCTCGATCCAGATGAGGCAGAACTACAATATCATCACTGGTCATCCCGACAAGACCCCGAACTTTCAGCGTTCCTACTTCTACGTCAAGTCCGACCCGTTTTCCTTTGTCGATCCTTCTAGTGACGACTCTAGGACTTATTGGAACAGTGTAGTGGGTAGTTAACTCGTCTTGACTACTGTCGATTTTTGTTTGTTCTAACTGTTTTCTTTTGTCGTGTAGAGCCGCATCCCAACTATTATCTGAGCGACGCCGCCGTTCCGCCTTCGTTCCTATCCACTGCTCGAGCTCTAGTCGAATTAGGTCATCAATTGTGGCCTGACATTAGCGAGGAGAGGGTCCAACGCTGGATAGAGCATATTAATCAAGGTATCGAGGACTTTCACCTGTCCGCTTTCCTTCTCCTCTCTTCTTTTTTTTTTTAAAATACGTGCGTCACTTAATGCCGTTTTACTCCGGCAGCTGACTGGGAGAAGGACGTTGGGTACGCGGTCAGACTCGGGAAGAAAAGAACTAACCTCTACATGTCAGAAGAGCAACGAGTGGTTAAGGAAGCCTTAGCGATGAAAGAGCCTGTCGATCTTTCCCAAGCGATGAAGAAGAAGCGGGGAGGAGCATCGCAATGGACTCAGCTGATGAGAGTAATCGATATCTTCAACTTGGGAGGAGGGGATCTTCCCGGTGATGCGACTCTCTCTCTTTCAGAGATTGTTGCTTCGGACATGCCCGAACCGTCTGTGAGTGGTTCGAAGAGGCCACGGGATGCGGACTCTGAAGTCCAGGTGGACCCGAGCGGTGGTGGCCCGTCCGCAAGGAAGAAAAGCTCTAAGCCCGCGGGTGATGGGTCTGCTTCCAAGGAGGGATCGGGAGCTCGAGATGGTGATGGTGATGGTGCTGGTAATCATTCCGAGGGAAGGATTGAAGGGGAGCAAGGCCGCACTTCTCTGAATCCTTCAAACGAGGATGCCTCTCTCGGAAAGGACATGGTTCTTGCTGAAGGTTCTAAGAAGAAGGAGAAGAAGGCGGGCAAGAAGAAGAAGACAAAGAAGAAGGTAGCTCTTTCCGACGAGGGAACTGGCCCGTCGGCTGATCCGGCTCGCGCTTGTGACCCGAGGATCCTCCCGAGTTCTGACCAGATGACTTTTCGCGACGCCTACCTAAACGTAGCTCGTCTCAAAGAGGCGGTGAGTCGTCTTTATCTTTCTTATTTAATCATGGCGATTGTGCCTTTTCATACTTATGCTGATATGTGCTACGTTTCCAGGCTGACGCTTTGGTCGAAAAGTATGATAGCGAGCTGAAGGCAACATATGTCAGTCTCAGAGAGGCACAGAACGCAGTTGATCATGAGCGCGAACGCTCCATCTCGCTCGAAGCTTCACATGCGGAAGCGGAGCTCGCGCGGGCAGAAGCGATCGGCTTGGCAGAGACTCGGGCCAAAGATCTTGAAAGTATCTCGGAAGAGTTGAGGGTTGCTAAGGCCGCGGCTGCGGAACTCAGGAAGGAGAAGGCTGAGCTCAAGGCTAAGGTGGAGAAGATACCAAGGAAGCTGACTGTGAGGCCTCTCATTTGAGAGGGAGTCGACTTTTGGAGGTTATGCGCGAACGAGCGAAGACTCTGCACGCGACGACTAAGAAGGCGGAAGCCCGTTTCGAGCGTCTCAAAGCTCGCGATGCGAAACTTGACGCGTATGACGACGCGCGGGGCTTCTGGGTTCAGGCCTTCGGGACGCGGAAGTGTCTGGAGACGATGAGGGATGAAGGGGTGGCCATTCCGCAGGCCAAAATAGACGAGTTCAAGGAAGAGGTAAGGGTTCGCAAGGCGGAAGCTGCCAAGCTGTACCCCGGGTCTCCCGATCCAAACGACTACATCCGCTCGCCGTTGGTTCTGTCCTCCAGGTACTTCAATGACACAATCTTCACTTATATGATGGCTGGTTACAACAGAAATGCCGTCGATGGGTTCGACCCGAATGGGTCGACGAACTCGATCCAGTAGTTGCTGCTGAACTTTGTTCCCGGTCATTTCAGACGGTGCTTGGCGAGTTCCCGTTCCTTCGGATGAGATAGAGATAGAGAGTCTTGATGGTTCTGGCCGAGGCAAGTCCATCGATAATGACAAGGTGAGATCCAATCCGCCGTTGACAGACGAGGACCAAGACACCAGTCAGCGAGCGCCGAGCCAGCCGACATCGTCGACGAACACTTCTCAAGCGCAGGAGACGGACACCCACGGCGACGATGATGTCGAGGTATCCAAAGAGTAACCTGCCTTGCCGCGACGCCTCATTTTCTTAATTTGTACCATCTTTTCCCTCCGCGTGTGGAGTTGTTGTCCTTTATTTTGAATCCATTGTTGTACCCTTACGGAGGGGTTTTAACTCTATTTTGGCATTCGTCACAGAGACTTTGTTTCTCTCCTTTTTTTTTTATAAATCTGCCTTAGCGTGATTTTCATTGCGTATTTTTGAATTCAGTTCAATGTTTCGAGACGTAAGCTCGCCTCGTGATCGTCGAATCTAGTTAGGGGTTATCAGAGTTTGTTCGTTTCTGAAGTAACCCGTGTTTTAAATTCGAACCCTTAGATCTCGTCCAAAAATTTGCCTTAGCGTAATTTTCATTGAGTTTAGAGTTTTAGCTTGGCGAGTGTTTGTTTAGTTTTTAAATTCGGAGGATCCATTAGAGATTTGTCATTCTCCGAGTTGGTTCTTCTTCCGAATTCGACAAACTATTGCTCGGAGCATTACTCGGACTAGCGTCTATAACCTGAGCTCAGCTCAATTGTCCGACTTAGTCGTTGCTCGTGGGTTGGGTGGGGCCCCGACCTGTTTAGCAACATCTAAGATTCTGTTCTTAATTAGGCCGACAAGATCTCCGAATTGCCGCGAAGTAAATCCGTAGAATCTAGGTCAGCCGATCCCTACTCTAGGAGTTATCGCGAGATCAAACTTGTCGTCTCTTCGCCAGTCAGCCGGTACTGGCCTTAACTGGCGGGGCTCGCCAAACGCCTTCCTGATCAGGGCGCATTCGGCGAATTCGCACGAGTGCCAGTGCGTGAT